AAAAAAAAAAAAAAAGAGGAAGGGCACATTTCCACGGACATCATGGAATAATAGAAAAAATTACACATTTCTTGACTTTGGTACCTTAGTTACTGGGGTCACATGAGTGGTTATGCGCACTCTTTGGAGATGTACATGGAAATATGAGGTGGTGAAGGACCAGGGGTGTGCTGCTGCATGCCTGTAACACCAGCTCTCTGGTGCAAAGGATTTTTTATTTTGGGGGAGTTTTTGGTTTGTCTTTTTGAGACAGGGTTTCACTGTCGTTCAGGCTGGTCTGGAACTCGCTGTGTGGCCCAGGCTGGCCTCCTCCTGATTCAACCCCCCAGAGTGCTGGGATTGCAGTTGTGTAGCACACCTGTAACCAGCTTTGTTTTCTTTGAAAGACGCATAGCCCAGGCCACCTTCCAAATCATAACCCGCCTGCCTCAGCCTCCTGAGGGCTGGGATCCCAGGTGTGCACTGCCAAGCTCGGCTTGGCAAGGGTCCCCATGGGCCTAGCGGTGTGGGGGCGGCTGTGGGCCTGGAAGACAGTGGGGGGCCGGGCCTTCCAGGACTCAGCGTGCCGGGGGTGACTCATGGTGAGGAGGGCGTGTCACCGCCCGTGAGGGGGTCCAGAGAGGGCCAAGAGAGGGAAGTGGGCTCTGAGTCAGCCGCGGGGCAAAGCGGGAGCCTGGGAACTTCAAGGGCAGAGCCCAGCAGGGAGGCTGAGGCCGCTGAGTCAGCTGGGCCTGGAACTCCGGGCGTCCTGTCCGGGGCGCCCTGGGGAGACTGTGTTGTCACCACAAGGCTTCAGGAGCCAGTGAACCCCGGTGCTCCTCCGCTGTTCCACTTTTCTGTTTTGGTTTGCTTTCGTTTTTTTGGAGACAGGGTCTTGCTATGTAGCCCAGGCTGGCCTCGAACTCATGGCTATCCTCCTGCCTCAGCCTCCCGAGGGCTGCGATTATAGGCATACACTACTACGCCTGGCCTTTCCACTTTTTTTGACTTTGTTTTCTGGGGGTTTTTTTGAGACAGGGTCTCGCTATGTAGCCCAGGCTGGCCTCAAACCCTCAGCGATCCTCCTGCCTCATGTTCTGCTTCTCATTCTGGGGCCTCAACTGAGCACCGGGACCAGCTGGGCCCACCGGCTGGGTGCTCCTGTCACAGCACCCCGGCACCCGCCTCACCTTGCCCTGCAAAGCCGTGACTTGCACAACCCCTCCACATCCCCAGCCCTGTGCACACCCTCTACCGCCTCTCTGGATTTTGGGGTCCCATTCCTTCCTTCCGGGTCTTCTCTCTGTTTTTATTTCTTTTTCTTGACAGAGGGTCTTGTTGTGTAGTGCGGGCTGGCCTTGAACTCACTATGTAGCCCATGCTGGCCTTGAATCCCTGGAGTCCTCTTGTCTCAGCCTCCCAAGTACTGGTATCATAGTTGTATGCCACCACGTGTGGTTTTTTATTTTAATTTTAACATTTTTGTGAGGATGAGGATCAAAGCCAAGACCTCATGGATGCAGACCATGCTCCCCACGACCGAGCTCCACCCTCCCTGGGGCTCCACACCGTTAGGGGCCACCTGTTGCGTAGCCCTGTGGGTTTCTGTGAGTTCAAGGCCAGCCTGGACCACACAGTGCGCTCAAGCGCAGCCTGAACTGCATCGTAAGACCCTGTCTCAATAAAAGAAACTTTCTCGGCTCAGGTTTGGTGCCGGAGGGACTTGGGCGTCTCAAGGAGCCGTGTTCACATCCGGGCTAACCTAAGCCCACGGTCAAGGGCCCAGGTTTGACGCAAACTCTCTGAGCCATTAACCATGTCCCTCAGCAGGACACAGGTCACTGCTGCCCTCCTGTCCCCATGGAGGCCAAGGCTGCCCACTCACCGTCGCTGGGAGATGGCTTTGGGCCTCTTGCCGGGTGAGCGGGGCTGTGTGGCGGGACGGGTGAGTGGGCGGGCGGGCGGTTTCCAGGAGGCAGGGCGAGCGAGCCCTCCTCCCCAGACCTCAGCCCACGCCGCACCTGACTTCTGCTGGCTCCGCTCCCAGGCTGCCAAGTCTACCCAGTGCCAAGTCTAGCACCGTGGCCTCTACCAGGCCCTGGACCAAAGAGGTGGGTGTGAGCTTGGCCATTTTGTTTCATTTTGATTGTCAGACAGGGTCTCACTATTGTAGCCCAGGCTGGCCCTCAACTCCTAGCAATCCTCCTGCCTCAGCCTCCCAAGTGCTGGGATGACAGGCATGTGCTACTATATATGGCTCCAACCGGTGTTGAGAAGAACATGACCTCCTTTCCCCCAGAAGTGGCTGTGGCTGAGGCAGTGCCACCTTCCCCTAAGCATGCCCTGCCCCGGTCACCAGGCATGGGGCACCAGACAGGAAGTGGGGGACCACGGTGGCCATGTGCCATGGCAGGGGAGGACAGGGTGTAGGGGTCAGCCGTGCTGGCCCAGATTGCGGCAGAGATACCCAAATGTTAATCACCACTTAGCCCGGGTGGTGGAGAGGCGTGGCACTGTGTGTACATAGGCCTAATGTGGTGGGAACATGCGATAAGACGCCAGCCTTCGGGTGGAAGCCGGGGTATAAAGTGGCAGGCACCGAGGGGACCAGGAAGGGACCCCAGCCTGTCCTTCTGGGAGAGCGGAGGAGAGTACGGTGAGACAGAGGCTGGGACAGGGTGGATGGGGCCAAGGAGCAGAGGGCTCTGGGAACCAGAGCCACTGCGCCCTTGGGAAGGCCAGCTGCTGGCCCATACTTTTCCAGGACCGGCTTCGGTGTAGAGGGCTTTAGAGGAAGGTCCCCTCTGCTCCTTGTCCCTGCGGAAGACCCAGCAGGAGAAGAGCATGGTCAGACTTTAAGGGAGCAGGGTTTAGTGGCGCACACCTGTTATCCCAGTACTGAGGAGGCTGAGGCAGGAGCATCTCCAGGATTTCGAGGCCAGCCTGGGCTCCATAGTGAGTTCAAGGCCAGCCTGAGCTGCACAGCAAGACTGTCTCAAAGAAAGAAAAAAGCAGCACAAAGCAGGTCCACGTCCCTTCTAGTCACTGCCTCTGTTGCCCGCACGCCCACCTTCCTGGAGGTGCTGCCCGGGCCTCTTCAATCGCCTGATCCCGGCACCCAGCAGGGCCCAGGCTCCAACAACTCGCAGCCTCCTGGCCGCCCCTCATGCAGCCCTGTTCTTTCCAGGTCAGGACCAGGATAATGGCGGCCGTGAAGACCTGCTCTCTGCTGCTGGTGCTGCTGTTCATGGCCTCTGGGCTGGGAGAGAAGGGAGAGGCTCAGACCAGGTAGGGGCGGAGGAGGCAGGGGCTGGGGCTGGGAGAAATCCAGGCAGCCAGGCCGTGGAGAAGTAGGGAGGAAGGTCAGGTGGCTGCCCCAGGGCATGGTGAGGCCCGATGTAGAGAACTTTTCTTTTTCTTCTTTTTTTTGTGGAGAGGAGGGTTGAGACAAGGTCTCAGTATGTAATGCAGGCTGGCCTTGAACTCACTGAGATCCTCCTGCCTCAGCCTCCTGAGTGCTGGGATGACAGGCTTTCTTTCTGGATATTAGCTAAAGAAATGCATTAGAAAGGGCAAAAGGAAGAAAGCAAGGACCTGTGGGACTCAGTCCTTTGGGATGAGTGAGATGCCAGGGCCCTCTCTGCCTAGAAACCAGAAGCTAGTGCACACCCGCACAGGCACGTGTGCGCGTGCACCTGCTCAGAGGGCGCCAGTGAGCGAGACCCTGGCCCCGAGCGGCCCGGGCTGACCTCTGCTTCCTCCTTAAGGCTCATTCGCGCAGTGTCCTGACCCCTCTCCCTCCCCTCCTCCCGCAGACCCCAGGCCCCGTCCGGCGGCCCCCGAGGCCGCAGGTACTCGGAGGGGACGTTCATCAGCGACTACAGCATCGCCCTGGACAAGATCCGCCAGCAGGAATTCGTGAACTGGCTGCTGGCCCAGAAGGGCAACAAGAGCAAGTGCGTCCCATCCAGCTCCGTCGTCCCACCTGCTTTGGCCTCAGGCCAGGCCCGCGAGACCGAGTCTGCGCCTGCGCAGTGCCGCGCACAGCGCCCAGGGCAACTTTGCCTGGGGAGAGGGTGGAAAGGGTGGGGTGGGCGCAGGGCCTGGGCGCAGAAGCCCCATGTGGGCAGCAGGGTGGTGGGGAGCAGGACGAGGCTGGGTCCATCTTTATTTCTTTTTTCTTTTGGGGGAGGGGAGGTTGAGACAGGGTCTCCCTATATAGCCCAGGCTGCCTTTGAGCTCAGAGCGATCCTACTGCCTCAGCCTCCTGAGTGCTGGGATGACAGGCGTGCAGCACCTCCCCTGGCCAACCAGTCATTCTGAAAAGGGGTCACTGGTGAAGGCTGAGTGGAGAAGGCGGCGTCCTTGCTCTGAGAGTCGTGGTGACAGAAGATCCAAGTGTTCCCAGATGGGGCAATATCTCAGCCTCCCCCTCAGTCCTGATCTGTCTCCTCAGCTGGCGACATAACCTCACCCAGAGGGACACCCGCACCCCAGAGCTGCCTGGACCATCTCAGGGGAGCCAGGGACCCTTGGAGCCGCAGAGGTGAGACCCCCGCCCCTGCAAGGAGCAGGACCTCACTTTTAGCCCAGGCTTGTGTGGAACTCATGGTGATCCCCCTGCCTCAGCCTCCTGAGTGCTGGGATGAGGGGCGTGTGTGACCATCCCCTGCTCTCCTTTTGGCTCTGGCTGTACTGAAAAGCCCAGGCCCCAGGGTCTGCGAGCACAGGGAACCGAGAGGCTGCAGCTACCCCCTCTCACCCGCCCCTTGGTGTCACAGACCCTGCATCTGTACCCTGGGGGAGGCTGGGCTCAGCAGGCGCCTGCACTGTCCCCTCTGTGCCCCACCCAGGACCCCCAGTGCGGATCTGCTGAGGGAGCTGCTGGTGAAGGAGCTGCTGGCCCAGGAGCTGCTGGCCTGGGTGGCGGAGAAGGCGGAGCCGCGCAGCCTCAGGTGGGCAAGGGCTCTGCGCCGGGCACACAGCAGGGCCTGGGCTTCCGGGCCGCACGGATCCAGGCTCTCCCTCTGTCAGCTGGGGATAGACCGCGCCCTGGGGGAGCTGGGCAACCCTCCCACCCCCAAGCAGCGCCCAGCCTTACTCAGACCTTGTCCTCGACACACACAAGCAGATTACTTGGCCAGCCTGTCTTTCTTCCTCCCTCCTTCCTTCCTTTCAACCTCCCTCCTTCCTTCTTTCCTCCCCTCCCCCCCTTTTTTAGACAGGGTCTCCCTATGTAGCCCAAGCTGGCCTTAAACTCACAGCAGTCCTCCTGTCTCAGCCTCCCCAGTGCTGGGATGACAGGTGTGGGCCGCCACGGTGGCCCAGGGCTTGGATAAGAGAAGGGAGTGAGGGTGTTGGCAGCTGTCCTTAGTGCTGGGGTCCTTCTCAGCTGCCGTCCCTTCCACCTCCTGTCCCCTGCCCTCGCTGTTTGCCTGCCCATCCCTGGTCTTGGCGTCCCATCTGGACCCTGGGGACCTCTGCAGGTGGGGGCACAGGGTCCTGCTCTATGGCCAACAGCCAGTTCCGTGGTCACCAGCTAGGTGCGGCAGGACACCCCTCCAACCTGCAGAAGCTGACACACATCAAAGCCAGGTCACATGGGGGCTGTTATTTGTTTATTTTTCTCGGTGGCCCTGGCAACGGAGTGGCAAGTCTTCACTCTGAGCTACACCTCTAGCTCTTTTTATTTTTTGAGGCAGAGTTGCAAGTTTCCCAGGCCAGGCTGGAACTTGTGATCCTCCTGCCTCAGCCTTCCCTAGTGCTGGCATGACAGGCGGGCGCCACCAAGTCTGGCTGCCATCTAGACTTTGATACGGGGGCTCTGGGGAGGTTCAGAGGGAGCCGATTAGCGGGTGCCCGGGACGGGGGTCTGGGCCAGCTCCCTGGGAAGAGGTAGGTGGAGACACCAGCGGGAAGGTGGGGCTGTCCCTGCGTTAACTCCCACTCCCCGGGGACAACGTGTCTTCCTGCCCTGTTCCCCGGTCCAGGTCTCAGTGAGGCTCCCGCCCAGCTCCCGCTGGATTCTGCACTCCGTGTGCCCAGCTCCGCTTCCGCCTGCCTCCGGAGTCCCCAGGAGAATCCAGGCCAATAAAGAATGTGCTGAAATAAATCACGGTGTCTACCCCGAGCTGATACAAATCTCCGCGAGCTCGCTCCGGGCCTGTGTGTGGGTGTCTGTGTGTGCTTGTCCCTCCCAATGGAAAGGTACACCTTTGAGCCGGGTGTGCTAGGACCGCAGCACGCAGGAAGCTGAGGCAGGAGGAGCTACTGAGATGAATGGAGTTGAAGGAAAGGGGAAGAGCCGCCCCCAGGCTATCTCTGGATTCTAGAAGGTGGAGGTCAGACTAGGGTGGCAGTGGTGGGTGCCGGGAAGCGGGCAGCTGTCTGAAGTCCACACTTAATCGTCAGCAGCCGAAGCCCGCCCCACGCAGGGGGCTGCTCGGGACAGAGCCTTGAGCGGGTGGGGGGGGAGGTGGGGGGGGCACTTGCGCCTGCGCAGTCGTGTGTGTGTGCGTCCGCCCCCCACCATCCCCTCCCCCCAGCCCTCCCGCTGGTTCAGCCCGTTAGGCTCAAACACAACTGAGATCTGCCACCGCACTCGGCTAGCCTGAGCCTTTTAGTGACTGTCTCTCAAGTGAGAAAAATGAAAGCCCAGGACGGCTGGGAATGTAGCTCAGTGTGAAAGTCCTGGGTTCAACTCTCCCTAAAACAGTAAAAGACAAAATAAAACAACAACTAAAAACCCATAATCGCCTTGAAGGCCTCATGATAACCCCATACAATACTATAATAATAGCTGTTAGCCAGGCGTGGTGGGGCACGCCTGTTATCCCAGCACTTGGGAGGCTGAGGCAGGAGCATCATCGTAAGTTTGAGTGAGAGCCTGGCTCAAAAAAAATCAACAAACAAAGAAGAATAGCTGTTAGCTGTGCACTGCACTGGCTCCAAGAGGTAGGAAATTAAAAGCCCAGGCAGGAGTTAGCACTCTCCCTCAGGGCAGCAAGTCCTTGGGAGGGAGGCCGTCTGCGGTCCCCCGCCCCCCCGGGTGAGTGCAACAGAGGCCTTGGCGCCATGGCTGACTCATCTGGAGCCCTGTGATCAAGCTGGGAGCCACTGGGAATCTGAGACGGCTGTGGTCGGAGGGAGAATTACACCGTCGACTCTGGGCAGGGCTACAAACCAGATTCTCCCCTTCCAGCCAGGAACTGTCCCGTAGATCATCAGTGGCTCCGCAGACTTCCGTCTGAAAGGCCAAAGGGAACCAAGGTGTCTGAACGGGGCCGTGAGTGTCTGAGCGCGTGTGGCTGGCGGGGCCGCGTGCAGGGAGCTGTGAGCCATGTGAGTGGGCCTGCCAATTCAATCTGCCATCCTCGCGCCGGAGTCAAGGGCGAGGAGGAAGGGTGCGCGTCCTTGGGGCTGGATTTGTTTAGGAGAGTGTAGAGAGACCTTGAAGTCAGTACCTTTCTGAATGAGTGATGGAAATTACAAAGGCCACGGTTTGGACCTCAATTCCTGCACTAGACCCCAACACACCACGCTAAAAATTATTTTTTTGTTTTTTTCCGGTACCGGGAATCAAACTCATGACCTTGTGCTTGCCAGGCAGGCGTTGTGCCGCTGAGCTAAATCCCCAGCCCCGACACCACGCTAAAAATTAAATGGGAGTCACCATGAAATGCCACATCATCAAGCTGACACTAAGCTCTCTTTGTTTTTCTGAGACAGGGTCTCCCTATATAGCCGAGGCTGGCCTCAAACTCACAGTGATCCTCCTGCCTCAGCCTCCCAAGGTCACACCTGGGACCACAGGTGTGCGCCACCACACCCAGCAAACTAAACTGCTCATTTGACCTTTCAGGATACTAGGATTAGAGGGATATTCCCAAACAGGCCAGTTTCTGTTGGGGTGATAACAAAGCTCCCCCTCCCTTAATGTTCAACATTAAAAGGTAGCCTGAAATAATCTGATGTTAACCTGTTATCTGCCTATTACTCTGTCTCTCTGTCCTCAGTTTACAAGGACTGAAACGACCAATCTGTTTTCTGCTCCTGCTGTATACAGAACATCTTGCCTGTCACCTGACCTCTGTTAGTGTGACCATCAAGGCTCAGGATTGTCCCTGGCCTGGTGCCATCAACAGTTCCTGTGCTTTATGGGATGAAGAGTTGCCCAACTCTAGAATTGAAAATAAACCAGTTAAGATTTCTGTAATTTTTTTCTTTTGTTTGTTTGTTTGTTTTCTGGTACCGGGAACCGAACTCACGACCTTGCTCTTGCCAGGCAGGCGCTGTGCCGCTGAGCTAAATCCCCAGCCCCTGTAATTTTTTTTCTTTTGATTGGGGCCAGTTTGGTCTGCGCAAAGTGGTGGATTGGTCAATCGGAGGTTAGTGTGCATGACAATGTGCTTAAAAGGCTCCAATAAAGCCGGGCGTGGTGGCCTACCCCTGTAATCCCAGCACTCGGGAGGCTGAGGCAGGAGGATCGCCACAAATTTGAGATAGTTCAAAACCACTCTGAACTACACCGAGAGACCCAACTTCAAAAACCAAAAAGACTAGAATGTGTTAAGGGGGCAACCATGGCTTTTGCTCTGTATAGGACTTCGATGGTCAGCACGGGCCTGGCTGGCTCTAGGCGGTCGGGGTGCATCTGGCCATCTGGCCCGAAGCACCAATGTGGGCTGGATGAGCGTTGCCGCACGAGAGCGGCGAGGATCCGCGTCTCGAGGCCAGGCAACGAGGGCCGGGATCGCATCTCTGTCGCGCAGCTTCGGCGCCACCCGGGGTTCGCACATCTTGACCACCAGGGAAAGGCCGCGCCATTGAGCGCCTCAATCAGCGAAAGGAAGCGCGACGCGTGACTTCCGGCGCGCGCTGATGACGCGTCGCCCGGACTTCCGGGTTGGGAACCCGCGGCGAGTCGGGCTCCCGGCGGCGGGGCGGCCCGCGGGCCCGGGGCAGGGATGCACCGTCGCGGGGTGGGAGCTGGCGCTATCGCCAAAAAGAAACTTGCCGAGGTGAGGGCGCCGCCGGCCGCGCCCCCTGGCTGCGAGACGGAGACTGCAGCCGAGTTCTGCGTCCTCGCTCGCCTCCGGGCAGAGCCTGACGCGGGCTTCGGGGCGCGGGCAGCGTGCCCGGCCCCCGGTGGTCGGAGTGGCGGCAGCCCCGGGCCCTGCGCCCTTCACCGCTCTTCCCGAACGTGACCGGAGACACGTCGTGTCCCTCACCCCGTCCTGCCTTGCGCAGAGAAAGGAAACTTAGGAGACGCGTTCCCCTTGCTCACGTCAGCCGTGCGCGCACGAGCGGGGACCCCCAGCGCCCGCCGTCACTCACGCGAGTCTCTGTCCGCAGGCCAAGTATAAGGAGCGGGGCACCGTCCTGGCCGAGGACCAGCTGACCCAGGTGAGTGACACAGGGCTGTCGGGACGCCTTCAGTGTAAACGAGATTGTGTAGATTAAACTAAAGATGTGGGGTCTGCCAAATCCCGATTTTGGGGAAGCTGCACCCTTTTAGGCGACGCTACTATTAGCTGGCATCTTTAAGTGATTACACGCTCGTAAGATCCTGGTAGCCGGCCGTGGTGGCGCACGCCTGTAATTCCAGCACTCAGGAGGCTGAGGCAGGAAGATCGTTGGGAGTTCGAGGCCAGCCTGGGCTACAAAGTGAGCTCAAGGCCAGCCTGAACTGCAAAGCGAGACCCTGTCTCAGAAAGACAAAAAAAAAAAAAAAAAAGATCCGGGACACATCTGTTTTTCCCTCCCTTTCCCTCCTGGCTTTTGTTTTCTTATGTCGTGCTGGGGATTGAACTCAGAGGCTGGCACATGCAAAAGTGCTAACGCGGGGCTACATCCCCAACCTTTTCTGGTTCCTTTACTATTTTTTTTTTTTTTTCTTTTTGAGACAGAGTCTCGCTATGCATTTCAAACTGGCCTTGTGCTCACTTTGTAACCCAGGCTGGTCTTGAACTCCCAACAATCCTCCTGCCTCAGCCTCCTGAGTGCTGAGATTACAGGCGTGCACCACCACACCCAGCTGGTTCCTTTACATCTCAGTCCTGTCATCGTAAATTAGAGATGAGCCAGGCATGGTGACACACACCTGTAACCCTAGCACTGAGGGGCTGAGGCAGGAAGATTGCAAGTTTATTATTTTTTAATTTTGGGGGGTGTTTGACACAGGGTATTGCTATGCAGTTTGGACTGGCCTTGAACTCACTACTTAGCCTAGGCTGGCCACAATCTCATGAAAAGCCACCTGCCTCAGCCTCCTGAGTACTGGAATTACAGGGGTGCACCATATTGTCCAGCAGGATTACAGGTCTGAGCCCAGCCTGGGCAGTTCAACAAGACCCTGTCTCCAAAAAGGGGCAGGGGGAACTAGATGTAGCTCAGTGCAAAGGTCCTGAGTTTAATCCCTAGTACCCCAATAAATAAATTCTCAAAAAAACACTGCTGCTTCTTTGAGAATAGCATTGTATTGGGAAGACTTATGCCATAGTAAGTGATGGACCTGTTTGAACACGTTAAGGCAAGGGAGTTGTTTTTTATGCTTGGCATGGGCCCAGGGCCTTGTGCGTGCCAGCCGAGTGTTCTGCCACTGAACTACTTCCTCTACTTCCTCAACATCCCCAGCCCCAAGGGATTTTTTTTTTTCTTTTTTCTTTTGGTAATCCTGGGGATTGAACCCAGGGCCTTGGCACTGAGCTACATCCTTTTTGTTTTTTATATTGAGGCAGAGCTTGCTAAGTCACTCAGTTGCCCAGGCGTTGCTTGAATTTGTGATCCTCCTGCCTCAGCCTCCCAGAGTGCTGGGTTTACAAGTAGGCATCACCGTACCTGGCTGGGAGTGGTTTCTGAGCTAGGCGCAGTGGCATACACCTGTAATGGCAGGTACACTCTGGACACTTTGGGAGGCGAGGAGGGAGGATTGCAAGTTTGATCTGGTCTGAGCAATTTAGCAGGATCCTTGTCTTAAACAGAACAAAGCGAAATAAAAACCAGTGTTTGATGTAAGATTGCAGTAGCCTCCATGCAGACTCAAACTCCAGGAGATCATCGTGCCTCGGCCTACTGAGTGTTGGGATGGTAGTACAGGCATGTTCTACCATGCCCAGCTCCCAGTTCTATCGAAAAAAAGTTTTTCTGGGAAAAAGAAAAGAAGCAGCAGACTAAATGTGCATGTAATTATTTGAAGCCCTTTAGAACAGGGCTGCATGAAAAACTGCCAATTTCAGAATGGAGGAGACAGAACAGCATGTCCTTCCTGCTGGGCACAGCCTGGTGGGAAGAGGCAGAGACAGATCAGAAGGGACCGGAGGCAGCGGAATGGTCTCCTGAGGATCAGCCTTTCTTGCCCTGGGCTTCTGTCCCTCGGGCCAGCCCTGACTCCCTTGCTCCCCGTCCCCTAGATGTCAAAGCAGCTGGACATGTTCAAGGCCAACCTGGAGGAGTTCGCCAGCAAGCACAAGCAGGAGATCCGGAAGAACCCTGCGTTCCGCGTGCAGTTCCAGGACATGTGCGCCACCATCGGGGTGGACCCCCTGGCCTGTAAGGTGTTGTCCATGGGGCCTGTGTCCTCCTCTTTGTGTCTGCCCGGCCAGTGTGGGGGGTCCAAGGCTGTTATCCCAGGGGACAGCTGGTCCCAACGTGAATGCTGACAGTGCCGTACAGGGGTGGACTCAGGTCAGCTCTTAGCACTGAGCTACGTCCCCAGTCCTTTCTGGTTCTACTTTGAGACAGGATCCTCTGCCTAGGCTTCTCAGCACCTGGATTACAGGTGTGCGCCGCTGTACCTGCTCTTGCCCTTAGCATTGATGAAAGTAGTACGTGGTTATGCAGTCAGTCAACGAAGTGCGGTGCGCAGGCGGACAAGCCGGTCTCCCGGCCCGGTGCTGTCATTCCCGACGTGACTGCTGCCGACGGCTGGAGACACACAGACCCGCTCCACCTTGCAGTGCTGCAAAAGCAGCGGGCAGCTGGGTGCAGCGGCGCAGGCCTCTGTTTTCTCTTCCTTAGAAGGCTGAAGCAGGAGGATGGTGTGTTCCAGGCCACCTCCAGCAACATGGCAAGAACCTGTCTCCAAGACAGAAAACAGTGACAGACCGCAAATGGCATTCACTACAACCCATGCTTGAATTTTCAATATCCATTTTTTCCGTACTATGATTTTTCTCTTGTGACAGGCAGCTGCAGCTCAGTCACAGGGTCACCCATGCCTTGTAGCGGACTGTGGCTAATCTGTGACATTCTATAGAATAGGTGTATAAATGCATTTTTATTTTATTTTTTGTTTGTTGAGACAAGGTCTCAGCTGTAGCCCAGGCAGGCCTCGAACTCACTGAGATCTTCCTGCCTCAGCCTCCCAAGCACTGAAATGACAGGCTTGCACCACCATACTTGGCTGCTTTGTTGTTGTTGTTGTTGTTTGTCTTTTTGAGACAGGGTCTCACTATGTAGTTCAGGCTGGCCTTGAGCTCACTTTGTAGCCCAGGCTGGTCTTGAACTCACAATGATCCTCCTGCCTCAGCCTCTGTCGGCAGCAGTCACGTGCTGGAATTACAGGCATGCGCCACTTTGCCTGGCTTTTGTTACTGTTGCTTTTCTTTTTGAGACAGGATCTCACTGTGTAGCCCTGCCTAACCTCAGACTCACGGTGATCCTCCTGCCTCAGCCTTCCAGTACTGGGAGTATAGGCACCACCATGCCCAGTGACGCCTGGCTCTTTATATGCATTTACATAATTTTTCAGTTTATGGTGGATGCATTGTGATACAATTCCCCTGTGATATGAGGAGCAGTGGTAAATCTGTGTAGACCCGTGGCTGATACTCTGAGGCCCTGTATGTGGTTGGAAGCATGCTGCACTGACTGCTTTCCAACCTGCATTTTTTCACTGAATAGAGTGTTGCCAGTGGGTATGGTACACCCCTCTACAGTCCCCACTGCTCAGCAGGCTGCGAGAGGCGATCACAAGCCTGAGGCCAGCCCAGGCAATTTAGGGAGACCCGTTCTCGGGACAGCCAGCCATGGTGGCACACGCTTGCGGTGCCAGGACTGGGAGGCTGAGGTAGGAAGATCAAAAGTTCACACCCTGCCTGGGCAATTTAGGGACATGGTGAGACCTGTCTCAGAATAAAAAGGGGAGATATTGTTTAGTGCAGAGGCCCTGAGTTCAATCCCTAGAAGCACAAATTAAAAAAAAAAAATAGCCACTCATGGAGGCACATGCCTGTAATCCCAGCATTCGGAAGGCTGAGGCAGGAGGATTGCTGTGAGTTCAAGGCCAGCCTGGGCTACATAGCAGGAGCCTGTCTCAAAAAAAAAAAAAAAAAAAAAAAGAGGGCCAGAGCTGTAGCTCAGTGGCAGAACACCTGCCCAGTATGTGTAAGGCCTGGGTTCCAACCCCAGCACCACAAAAAGAAGAAGAAATACTGAATATTGTCCCCCATTGCCTCTTTTGTTTTGTCTTTTTGAGACAGGGTCTCACTATGCAGTTCAGGCTGGTCGTGGACTACATAAGGTTGGCCTTGAACTTGCGGTGATCCTCCTGCCTAACCCCTCCCAAGTGCTGGGATTACAGGCATGTGCCACCATGCTAGGCTTTTTTTTCCTTTCTTTTCCTGACCTCCCTTCATGCTAGGCATGAAACACAGGGCCTCTTGCATGGTGGCCAGTACCCTCCAGCTGGGCTGTAACTCCAGCCCCAGAAGGGCCCTGCACAGTGTCCATCCTGTGCCACTGTCTGAACCTGTTCTTCAGCACAGGCTCCCAAGAGTCAGAGTCAAGGGACCCTGTGGTGCGAGTGGAGCCAGACTTAGGGCTGGGTGACAGGACCCCCCGAGGGAGAGATGTTTTCAGCCAGTGCTGACGGAATGAAAGGGACGCAAAGGGAGCAGGGACCTGGCTGTGGGCTTTCTGTTTTGTAGCTGGAAAAGGCTTCTGGTCAGAGATGCTTGGCGTGGGCGACTTCTACTACGAGCTGGGTGTGCAGATCATCGAGGTGTGCCTGGCCCTGCGGCACCGCAATGGAGGTGAGCCCAGCCGGCAGCCGCCCTGGGAGCGCCCTTTCTCCCCCGTGCCTGCAGATAGCAGGGGTTGGGGTTTTATTTCTATTTCTTGCAGTTCCTGTTTGCAGCACACAATCGAATTGAGGTGCTGTTTCTGCTACCTGAGCATCTCCCGGCCGACTCCGGCTAGGAGGCTCCATCAGCCCCACTCCTTCCAGCGGGGTGGGGCGGACTCGAGTTTGCCTTCTCCCCTCCGGAGTGTCAGGCCTACCGTGCCTTTCCCAGGTGTGGAGACACCATGGAGTCTTTAGGCTCCTAAAACATGACTCTAGGCTGGGCGTGGTGGCACAGTATTCTGGGAGACTGAGGCAGGAGGATTGCAGGTTTGAGCCAAGCCTGGGTAACTTGGTAACATAGGGAGACCCTGAATGTGTTGTGTGTGTATTTTTTTTAAACAAAGGCAGGAGCCAGTCATGGTGGCACAGGCCTGGAATCCCAGCACTTGGGAAGCTGAGACAGGAGGATTGCTGACAGTTCAAAGCCAGCCTGGGCTACATAGTGAGACCTTGTTTCAAAAAAAAAAGGAAATATAAATGGCCAATAAATACACGAAGAAATGTTCAATATCGCTGGCCATTAGAGAGGTGCAAATTTTTTTTTCTTTGTCTTTTTGAGACAGGGTCTCGCTATGCAGTTCAGGCTGGCGTTGAACTCACTTTGTAGCTGAGGCTGGTCTCGGACTAACCACAGTCCTCCTGCCTCAGCCTCCTGAGTGCTGGGATTGAGAGATGCAAATGAAGACAACACTGAGATTCCATTTTATCTTAGAAAGAATGGCCACCATCGAGAAATCAAATAATCAGAAATGCTGGCAAGACTGTGGGGGAAAAGGAGCTCTCCTACCCTGGTGGTGGGAGTGTACACTAGTACAACCATTATGAAAATCTTTGTGGAGATTCCTCAGAAGGAAAACTAGAAATCCATTTGACCCAGCTATTCCCCTTCCATAAATCTTGCCAAGAGAGTTAAAGACATCGTATTGCAGTGAGCCAGCATACCCACGTTTATGGCAGCACAACGCTAACTGCTCAATCTTGGAAGTGGCCTGTCTGTCCGTCAGTGAATGAGTGGATAAAGCAAATGTACACACCGCGGAGCACTACTCTGCCATGAAGGGTAAACTTGGTCATTTGTGGGAAAATGGATGCCCTTTGAGACCGTAATGTTAACAGAAACAAATCAGGCACACAAGCTTCAGTATAGCACAGTTTCTCTTGTATGAGAGACCCAACTTAGAAATAAAGAGCAAATGGAAAGCTAGATGGCAGGAAGTAGGGAGCTGGCTGTTTCTCAAATGGGAAGGGGAGCTGGAGAGGGCGGGAGGGGAGGGAGGGAGGGACGGGGGATGAGAAAGGAATTAAGCGGTGTTCTGTCCACCCTCCCACTCCACGCAAGGACCGTGAACGTTACGGACTGTGAATGTGTACTAAGGAAAAAGTACATTTTTACCTGGAGGGGTGGCACTTGCCGGTCATCCCAGTACTCAGGATGTTGAGGCAGGAGGATTGCTGTGAGTTCGAGGCCAGTCTGGGTGATATAACTGAGTTTAAGGCCAGCGTGAACCACATAGTGAGACCCTGTCTCAAAAAAGAAAAGAACCTCTGTATGTATAGCTTTTCCAGGGTAATGCTGGCTTAGCTTGAGGAGGACATTTTCCTGTGTCTCCCTCTCGTGAAGTTCTGACAAGCTCCAAACTCGCAGGCTTGTACCCAGTTGGTTGGTAAGAAAACAGGTGAAATTTAGTAACTGGAGTACTGTCTGCTCCTTGGAGACTTTGGTAAAGCAGTGAGTCCTTATTTAATGCAGTTGCAGGCTGGGCACCCCGCACTCCCCTCCAGTCCTGCCACTCTGGGGGCTAAGTGGGAGAAGTGCAAGTCAGAGCCTGGCCTGAGCAACTGAGGGACTTAAGGACAACAGTGAAAACAGTAAAATTTTTCTTTTTAAAAAAAGGACAGAGATGCCGGGTGTGGTAGCACATGCACTCAGGAGGCTGAGGCAGGAGGATTGTTGTGAGTCCGAGACCAACCTGGGCTACAAAGTGAGCTCAAGGCCAGCCTGAATCGCAGAGCAAGACCCTGTCTCAAAAAGACAAAACAGGAAAAAAAAAAAAAAAAAAAGGACAGAGAATGTAGCTCAAGGGCTGGAGATATAGCTCAGCGGCACAAGCACCTGCCTGGCAAGCACAAGGTCCTGAGTTCAATTCCTGGTACCAAAAGAAAAAAACAACACCGAGAATGTAGCTCAGTATGGAGGCCCTGGGTTTTATCCTCAGTACTGAAACAAACAAACAAAAAACACAAAGTGCTTGCAGCCGTGAAATTAATCTGCTCTCCGTCCCTCTCCCCAACAGGTCTGATAACTCTGGAGGAGCTGCACCAGCAGGTGTTGAAGGGAAGGGGCAGGTTCGCGCAGGATGTCAGCCAGTAGGTCTTGCCGTCTAAGCCCTTGGAGTAAAGAAAGAGATCTTTAAAACTCAGATGGCCAGGCCAGGCCTGGTGGCACAGGCCTGTAATCGCAGCACTCTAGGAGGCTGAGGCAGGAGGACTGGAAGTTCAAGGCCAGTCTGGGCAACTCTTTTTTCCTGTCTGTTTGACACAGTATCTCACTATGTAGTTCGGGTTGACCAGGCACTGTGTAGCCCAGGCTGGTCTCAAACTTAGAATGACTCTCCTGTCTCAGCCTCCCGAGTACCGGCATTACAAGCTTGCACTACCACCACGCCTGGCTTGAGCCTGGGCAATTTAGCAAGACTGCCTCAAAAATAAAAAAATCTGGGCGTGGTGGCACCTGCCCGTTTTGCTGGGAGTGGCCCAACTGCTGGGCACTCTGGGTCGTGTCTCTGGGTGGCTTTGGGCAGAGCTGAGGCGGTGTTGTCATTGTTGGGTCGGACCCACCAGGCCCCTCACACTGCTGTCCCTCCTGTAGAGACGACCTGATCAGGGCCATCAAGAAGCTCAAGGCACTGGGCACGGGCTTTGGCATCATCCCAGTGGGCGGTACCTACCTCATCCAGTCTGTGCCGGCGGAGCTCAACATGGACCACACGGTGGTGCTGCAGCTGGCCGAGGTAGGGCCTGGTCAGAGAGCCGGGTTGTGTGCTTGAGGCACGTCTGACCCAGCACTCAGGAGCGGGGCTGAGGCAGGGAGGTCGCCTTGAGTTGGAGGCCAGCCTGAACTACATAGTGAGACTCTGTCTCAAAAAAAAAAAAATCCTCCCCCAAAAAGATAGTTTTGTTTTTCTCCGGTACCGGGAACCGAACTCACGACCTTGCGCTTGCCAGGCAGGCGCTTTTGCCGCTGAGCTAAATCCCCAGCCCCCTAAAAAGATAGTTTTGTTTGCAGCCCTCATTCCTCAGCACGCTTGAAGCGTGTACCATCTTTTGCGTACCCCGTCGGGTGTTCAGGGAAGACACCGGTTTTTAAAATTCTGTGATACTAAAGAAAACTGAAGGGGCGCGGCACGGCGGCGGCCGCGTCCCCCGCGGTGTTGGAGAGCGCCTGCCCTTCCCTGGTCACCGCGGCCCTCCTTGCCCGGGCCTTCGGTTCCGGGAAGTCCGACCTGACCTCGCAGTGCCGCCGCCCCGCCTGTGCCCCTGCGTCCCTTCGCCCTCCGCAGGGTCTCCGGACAGCCTGGTCCTGTGCCCTCCCAGGCCTGGCCCCGTGGTGGCTCTTCCTCCCCTGGGGACACAGTTCTGCCCTCGGGTGGCGCTGGGCACCCGACTGACCCAGCCCCCACCCCTCCTTCAGAAAAACGGGTACGTGACGGTCAGTGAGATCCAGGCCAGCCTCAGGTGGGAGACGGAGCGCGCCCGCCAGGTGCTGGTAGGTGCTGACCCAGCCGGGGCGGGGCCGGTCCGCGGGCAGCCTCTGGGCCTCTGGCCGAGCCGTGTCCCCACTGCCGGGGCGACGGGGGGTGGAGCTCCGTGGCACGGCAGTGTCGCCGTGAGAGCCTCCGTGGGCAGGGTCGCGGGCCACCCACGACCCCCCGCGTCCCTCCCCAGGAGCACCTGCTCAAGGAGGGGCTGGCCTGGCTGGACCTGCAGGCGGCCGGCGAGGCCCGCTACTGGCTGCCCGCGCTCTTCACCGACCTCTACTCGCAGGAGATCACGGCCGAGGAGGCCCGCGAGGCCCTGCCGTGACCGTGCCGACCTCCCGCTGGGCCGGGGGCCCGGTTTCGTTTCTAGGAAATAAAGTCTTGAGTTTTACTTTCTTCGCTCATGTTTTATTTTTTAAAAGTACCCTCACGAAGGTTTTTGGAGGAAGCCTGGCTCACCCAGTCGGGAATCCCGAGCAGCTGCACGAGGCGTCCCCGGCCCTGCCCCGGGCGAGGCGCGGTCTCGTGGCCCCCAGCTGCCCGCCCCGCCCCCTCCGCAGGCCGGGACCAGCTCGGCCGACCGCGTGGGACGCGAGGCAGGCCGTCTCCAGGGTCGGGGCGGGCGTCCACCCGCGCAGGCCGAGACCCCATCCTCACGGGAACCTTGGGGGACGCGGAGTCCGAAGCGGCCGTTGCCGCTCAAACCTCTCATCATGTGCGAGGCCAGGTCCCCTGGGCTCCTGAAGGCACCTTCGGAAGCCACGGAGGCTGCGGCGGTGACCTTCTGGCTGGCGGCCGAGGCCTCTCCGCCTCCAAGCAGCGGGCAGCCCGGATCCCTCAGACCCCACCTCCACATCCAAGCGGGCGGGGTCCGGGTCCCACAAACCCCAAGTCCCCTTCACCCCCGCCCCTGCACCCACAGGCGCTTCCTCCTTCTGCCAAAACAAACTTTATTGCACCAAAAAGAAAAAAAACTTCATTTATGTACAGTTGGATATAAAGACATCTCTGACTCCTGTGCATATATTCCTCAACTCAAGGTAAGGGCGTAAAAGTCGGGCTGCTATGCCAGACATGCTCTGCCCCATGGCGGGCCAAGGAGAAGATTGTCACTTGAACATGGGGACACTTAGATGAACAAGAGACGACACCAGACCGACCCACTGACCCAGGGCACTTCTCCAGCCCAACCAGCTCTGGGAACTAAGGAGTCGGAAGCAGGTCCCAAGTCCCGCGTGGAGACCAACTCCACCCAGGCGTCCAGCCCGGCACTTCCAGCCCTCGGGGCGGGATGTTGTCCCGCGTCCCTCCGTCCCCTGGGGAGCCCAGGATCCACAGGGCAGAGACTTCGTAGCAGCAGGAGGGCAGGTGCGCAATGTCCCCCCCTTCCCCGTGTCATCCGGGTCGCAGCCTCGGAGCCCTAACAACTCAACCTGCAAAAGCACAAACAGGAAGGCGGATCCCGGCGTCCACGCCCCTGGGCACCTGAGCTGCCTTTCCACCCGGCTACAGGACACTGCGCTCAACTGAAGCAACACAGCCAGGCCGCAGGCGGCATGGAGCAGCTGGGGGAAGGGAGGGGTCTCGAGCCCTACCTCCTCCCGCCACCGGGGACCCTACTCCCCACAAATCCCTGGGGTTGAACTGAGGAGGGGGTACGGGCTGGGTGAAAAGACATGGGAACCAAACAAAATGTGCTAAGGACTGCTGTCGCCCGCTCCACCCAGGGGGAGGCCCTGGCAACCTGGACACCCTGCAAGGGCCACTGTGCGGCGGCTCCAGTCCCCACAGCCGCTGCCTTGCGAGCATCTCCAATCGGGGACAAACAGTATTTCGGACTTCTCCGGGCCGTGAGCGCGGCCCGGTCCGTTCCCTGGGCCCGCGGAACCCAGAGGGCGTGGGGGGGGGAAGGTGCGCAGTGCTCGGTAAAGCTCATCCTCAGCAGCCTGGGCCCCGCCACTGTTCCTGCTCTTTGGTCTGTCTAGAACAGTGACTATAAATTACGGAAAAGAAATTATGTGGGCCCAGAATAACGAGGAGGGCGGGGAGGGAGGGGAACGGGCATTGGAGCCTGCTTGGAGACCGCAGACAGACAGACAGAGAGACAGACAACCACCCAGACTGCTCACGTGCCAGACACCCACCCGAGCCCCCGGCGGATCTCCCAGAGCCCCCTGCGCACACCACAGCCAGTTCTCCCTAAGGAGCCGCCTGGGAGAGGTATGGAGGTGTCGGCGGTGGGGTCTGCCGGGGCCCTGGCCCTGCGGGCTCCCACGAAGGTACCTGGGCCCTGACAGGGGACACAGCCCCAAGGCTTGGGCGCCAAGGTCAGAGGGGAGCAGCCCGCCCACACCCCGGGATCCTGGGGATGGCGCCACGCGGAAGGGGCCGGTGCCGCGTGGGGGAGGGCGGCGGGCGCAGGGTCTACACCCGCAGGCTCCCGTGCAGGTCTGTCTCCGTGCCCGACGAGCTGCTGTCAGAGTCCATTTCGGCGTTCTCGTTGTGCAGCCGCTCCAGCACTTTCTGGCGGATGAGGCCCAGGCGGATGAGGAGGGACTGGTAGTCGAAGTGGCCCCGCTTCTCTCCAAAAGGGTCCTGGGAAGGAAGTGGAGTACAGGAGCCCTGGAGCCGGGGCTCTGCTTGGCTGGTGTCGCTCCCCTCTGGGCGGAGACAGAGGGCACGAAGTGCAACAGCCCCCGACACTGCAGCCAGCGACACCAAGCTGCGTCCGCCCTCCCCGAAAGCACACCAGTGTGCAGAAGGGGCCAGGGGACGTTCTGTGAGGTGTGGGTGTCCCCCTGCGGGGAGATGGACGGTAATCGACGTGTCTGGCTTTTCCACCACTCTCTGCAGACCCAACACAGGACCGCGGCCTTCAGCCGGGACCCGAAAGGGCACTGCTTTCCTGGGGCTGCAGGCAGACCTGAGTTCTGCCCTCCCCAGGGACCCATCCTGCTCCTGTCTGGGTTTCTGGGTTCCGAGCCGGGCCCCCAGCCGGGCCCCCAGCCTTGTCCTAGATCAGAATGCTCACAGGCATCTGCCGGGCATGCTCAAGGCCAGGCTCGGGCCCCAGGGCAGAGCCAAGCACCCAAGCCAGAGCTTTCCGCAGAGAGGGCGCAGTGTGCACGGCCTCCACGGCCTCCTCCCGCCTACGGCCTTCCACCCCTCCCTCCAGCCGGGGCCGGGCATGGGCGCTGCCCTCATCTCCCTCTCCATGGCAGCACCGCAGGAGGCAGGCACCTGCCAGGAGCCTCACTTACGCTGGAGCTGCCAAGTCTCCAAGTCTTCCCTCCATCCCCGGTTCCCTCTGCTCAGAGGCTCCCTGCCCTGCCCGCCGCGGTTGTGGTTCCTTCACACCGAAGGGAGGCAGTGTCCCGGCCACCCACACGCGAGCCCTGCTGGGCTCCACCCCAGGCTCACAGCACCTCTGTGCTCCCCAAGGCTTCGTCCTTGAGAGGACAAGGGAGCTGCAGCTCAGCAGCAGCGCTGGAGGGCATGGGCGCCCTCTCTGGGGCTGGGGAGGCTTAGGGACCTTGGTCAGTCACCTGAGCACCCCACAGGGAGACACAGTACAGGAACCACCAGGACGGACGGGACGGGACAGGATGGGATGGGGCCTCCGCAGGCAAGAAGAGCCCCTGTGTGAGCAGAGCAGGGGTGCTGCCCAGCGGGGCGACGGGACTTTCAGGACGCCTCTCTCTGAGCCTCTACGGCCCAGATGGACTTTACCTCGCTCCTCTCAACCTAAGCTTCCTACAGGGGCCGGGTGTCTCAGGCTTGGAAAAACCTCTGACCAACTCCAGCTTAGAAAGCAGATGCCTCGGCCTCCACTCCAGTACCCACCGTACACCAAGAGCTGGGAACTGGGCAAGGTCTCCCCTCTGCATGGCCACAGTGCCTCGGGGACACGGGCTCCTCCGCTGCACTACGCCCAGGTGCGTCAGTGTCTGGGCCCACGTGTCCCACAGGGGGCAGCGGCTGTCTTACCTGCATGGTCTGGCCTTGGAGATGCAGCCGATCCTTGCAGGCCACCTCATAGAAGTCGTAGTACTCCAGGAAGGACTTCTCCATCACGCCCCTGGAGAGCAGCAGACAGTGGGTGCCGGGGCACAGGCCTCCTTCACCCGATCCCAGCACCAGGTTCAACAGCCACTGCCTGGGCCCACATACTCTTGCCACCGAGCTTGCGGCGGAAAAGGGACAAAGGAGAAACGCCTGCCACCTTGCGGGTGACCAGAGAAGAGTGCCACTCGATGCCAACTGCCACTACCGATGCGCTCAAGCCCCACCTGCTCCCCAGCTTACCCAAGCCCCTCCTCCAACAGCTCCCCTGGCACCCCGTCTTCGGGGAGTAACCCACAGCCAGCGCAATCACAAAGTATGAGCCACAGCTGCCTCCTCCTCAGCCTCCCATCATCACCCCTCCCTTCACCGGCCCTCCAAGGCTCGGACCACCCACATCACCAAGGCAACACGAGGCCAGGGCCTCCTGACACTCACCGCAGGGGCTCGGGGCAGGGACACTTCCCTTCCATCATGTCACAGACCGCGACTCTAATGGTCTCGTGCCGGATACATTCATTGTAGTTTTTGCTGTCTCCTGGATGTCGCTCCTGCAGTGGGACAGATACCACCATGTCCAGACGTAAAGTGAAGACAGAGAAAAGGTGACTGGCAGAGGCAGAGCGAGTACAGCGTGTGGGACCAAGCCCGTGAAGGAAGGGGACGCAGCCTCCCGCGGACCCACGTGCACAGCAGAGCCCCTGCTCCTGTGACTGCCTCCCCCTTCCGCACACAGCAGTGCCCTCCTGTCTAGACTGCCTGCCCAGGGAGCCAGCACCAGGATGGCACATGTTTCTGCATCTCAAGGGCAAGTCCTACCAGGTAAGAATTTATTTATTTATAACGATCCTCCTGCCTCAGCCTCCCTCCCAAGTGCTGGGATTACAGGTGTGAACCACCACACCTGGCAAGAATTTATTTTTTGAGACAGGGCTTTGCTGTGTAATTTGGGCTGCCCTTGAAGCTACTATGTAGCCCAGGCTGGCCTGGAACTCCTGCCTCAGCAGGCATGTGCCACCACATCCAAGTCAGGCAAGAATTAAGTGAGAAATAACCACATGAGAATGATTGTGGGTGGGCTGGACATGGGGACACACACCTGTGACTCCGATACTCAGGAGGCTGAGGAAGAGAGGATCGCTGTTAAGTTTAAGGCTGGCCTAACCTACACAGCAAGTCTATCTCAAAAGACAGAAACAAAAATAAAACAAACAAGAGCCCACATGCACTTGGGAGGTTGAGGCAGGAGGGATCGTCCAGGCCAGCCTGGGCTACAAAGTGAGTTCAAGACCAGCCTACACTACATCGTGAGACTCTGTCTCAGAGACAAAAACAAACAAACAAAAAGGTGGTGGTGGTGAATGGGGCTGTGGCTCAGCGGTGAAGCACTTGACCAGTGTGCAAGAGGCATTAGGTTCAATCTGGTGACCTACCTGCCTCAGCCTCCCAGAGTACAGTAATGGCAACTGTGTACCACAACACTGGCCAAAATTATTTTTTTGAGATCACTGGAATTTTTCCCTGTGTTCTTGAATAGTTTAAGGCAGGCCAGGCGTGGTGGTGCATGTCTGTAATCCCAGCACTTGGGAGGCGGAGGCAGGAAGATTGTTGCAAGTTCAAGACCAGCCTGGGCTACAAAGTGAGCTCAAGACCAGCCTGAACTGCATAGTGAGAGCCTGTCTCAAGAAAACAAACAAACAAAAAGAAGGCATTGTGGGATCAGTAGTAAAGTTTGGGCTCTAACCCTCATGTGAAAGTGGGGACCAGAGATACTTCACACAGTGAGCCTGAGACGAGACGTCACCTGCAGAGCTCTGTGGGCCCAGCACAAGAATGCATGCTCCCTATGCTCGCTTGCTCCCCCGCAGCAGTGCTGCCCTCTGACAGTCAGCTGCTCCAGCGCTGACTCCAGAGCACGGGGACGAGGGACATGCTCGCCCCAAGGGCCCCCCACGATCCAAGCCAAGTGCTGCACTCGGCAGCATTGCCATGATCCCTGCAGGCAGAAGCCCCGGGCAGCCCAGCTCACCTGCTCGAAGCCGGGCTCGTTGTGGTAGGGGTTCTCAGTCATCAGCGACTGGATGGAGATGAGCACGGAGGAGATGCTCTGTGCCGGGCTCCAGGCGGGGCCGGTCCAGGTCCTGCAGACACCGCGGAGCGTGTGAGGTGGAGAGGAGCAGAAGCCCCAGCGGCGGCCCTGCTGTGAACTCTGGGAAGGCCAACCCTGCGCCCCACCAATGAAGGTCTGAGCCCTGCAGTACAGGGCCAGGAAAGGGGCAGGCGGCTCTGGGATCTGCAAGGGACATTCCTTGGATGGCAAAAGATCAAGCAATCAGGGCTAGTTACCGGACCGAACAAGCGAGAGAGGTTAAGAAAACAGCTCTAAAGGTTGTCTAAATGCTCACCTCTGCACACCGCACACAGCTCACTGATTTACGGCCGGGCAGGGACTCAATGAGGGGCAGCAGTCACACACAGGTGACTGAGCTACCCGCTTAGGGGCCACGTATGGGGGGGTAATGGTTGGGATCCAGTTCGTCTCAGACCCCAAGGACTGTCAGGTCCCCAAAGGCCACACTACTCTGCCACAGGACAGGACGAGAGCCAGGGGCACCTCTGGACTGGGCTAGGTCTTTGAAAATACACAGAGAACAACTGCAATGCCAAGAGAGACTCTAGATCACGTGTTTCTGCCACGGGCCCGGCCACACATTGAGAGGGGCAGTCTGGACGTTAGAACATCACTGAGCTCAATGAAGGGACGAGGGACAGAGGAGCTGGGAACTGACAGCCAGGACCGGCGTGTCCCCAAGAGCTGGCCAGGCCTCGGCCCTGCCCCACACAAGGGAGGCCCAAGCCACTGCAGGCAACACGGACTTTAGCAGTGATTCTCTGCACCTCCAACCCGTCCCCCAGGATCCCTCCATGCTTCCTGCTCGCCGCAGCCCCCCGGAGTCAGGGATGCGGCCAACAGCCAGCCCCAGGCCTTCCTCCCAGGCAGAGAGGGCGAGCGGGACGGGGGAAGCCCACAGTGCGCTGATGGCACAGGGGCACCGGCCTGTCATCCCCATGACCAAACCTCAACCCGCCTCTGCCACGTCCGCATCACTGCTGTCCTTGCCCCTGTGAGCTGCCTGCTGTCTGCCCAGAACAGCTTGTTGCTGGCCTGTGAGAACCTGCTGCAAACACACGTCCAACCTTCACAGTCGAATCTCACACAAAAGCAACATGCACCTCCTGCACGCAGGCACGCCACACGCACGCGCTCTCCCAGGGCAGGTGCACACCCTGTCAAGACTTGAGGACAACCTCCTTTAAAAGACAACCTTGCCGACCAAATCCTGGGCTGGAGATAACTAGCAAAATCCCAGCGCCAGGGTGTTCAGCTCCTCCTCCCACAGGGATGTGCCGGGCAGGGAGGAAACAGGGTCCCCAGCTCAGGGTCCTCATCAACCTGCAACTCGCTTCCACCCCAGGGCAGGTCAGCCCACAGCCCCAACTGTGCTGAGGCCGCCTCCATTCCTTGTCCCTCTGTAACCCACAAAAGCAATGAAGTGGGGGGAACGGGAGCCCCATGAGGCCAGGTCTCAGCCAACGCTGAAGAATTCTCACACAGACCCCGCTTCCGACCTGGCGGGCTTTCCAGTCTCAGGCATCCCTGCTCCCTTAGGTGATGACCACAACGGTCACCGCACCGAGGCCTCCAAGGCCTCCACGAGAAGGCGTGCTGGCCCTGGGCAGCCAAGGAGGAAGACAGGTCTGGGGCAGGCGCAAAAAGGACAGACGCTGCAAGTGCAGCTCGGGACCTCGAGGGCAGAACCGCATCCTCAGGCCAGCCCCACCCTTGCAGCCGGAACATGGGGGGGGGACTGTGAGTGTCACCCAGAGCGCGCCCCCCATCCTCTGCACCCGCACCCGAGTTCAGCTGCGGAAGAGGCAGGCGGCGGCCTGGCATCATTCCCACCTGTTGACGACGCTCCTCTTACCCTAGGATACTCAAGCAGACCTTGCCATTGCGGTAGAAGTTGGGGTTGAACCTCACTGTGTTATTGCCCGTCGTCATCAGTTTGACCCGCGGAGGGTGAATGGGGTAGTCAGGCGGACACCGAAACACGAACAGGAAGAAGCCCCCTTCGTAAGGAGTGTCAAAGGGGCCTGTGATCAATGCATGGATCTGCAAAATAAAAGCCGTCTCAAAATTGGGAGGGGAGGTGGAGTCCGCGCTCCACATCCTCAGGGGCACAACCACAGCGAACACCGCGCTCTTGCAGACAGACTGGCTGGGAATGTGAAGAATCCCACCACACGCCAGGCATGCTAGCACACCTCTGTCATCCCAGCACCTGGGAGCGGGCAGAGGGTCCTCGTGAGTTCAGGGCCGGCAGTGCCTACATAGTGAGTTCAAGGTCAGCTTGAACTGCACAGAAAGAGCCTCAAAAAAAAAGAAAAAAAGGGGCTGGGGATTTAGCTCAGCGGCACAGCGCTTGCCTGCCAAGGACGAGGTCTTGAGTTTGATTCCTGGAACTCGAAAAAAAGAAAAAGAAAAAGAAAAAAAATCCCACTGCAGCACCTTAACCAGGGTATGTTCTAACACTAGAGCCCACGGTGAAAACTAAATCCAGTCAATTCACACCTGCGTAACTCTTAAATCCCCCAGAACATTTTGGGGGGGACCTCCCTCATCAGTGTTACATACAACGAATAGCTAGAGCTTCACATGTAAAATGCAATGCACATCTATAAACATAACTTTAGGAATTTGTTTTGCTGAGACAGGGTCTCACAGAGTAATCCAGCTGGTCTCAAACTTGTAGCAGTCCTCCCGCCTCAGCCTCACAAGTGCTAGGGTTACAGGCCCGTGCCACCACACTCAGCTAGTGTTTAATTGTAAGAAGCCAGTTCACATTTTTACTGAGTATGTGTCTGGAGCCGCCCAGGTTAAACATGCACACGCTGCAGCTACACCCTGCACTTATGTGCGCGAGGTGGGGTGAAATGAAAGGGGAAGAGGAAAGTGAGGGAGGCACTGGTGGTGCCGTGGGGCCCGTGCAGACGGAGGAGAGGCTCCACCTAAGCCTGGGGTATCTGCTCACTTTCTCCACAGAAGACCACACCTACTGTGGACGTGCAGGTGGCGTCCAGTGGTGTCAAAGACACAGAGAGAAATGGGGAAAACTCAGGGTCCACTTGGGGCCACTAGATTACCCCAGAACTTTCCCATCACTGTTCATTTGGGAATAAAAAAATACAAAAACACAAACCAGCATTCCTTAAAATAGAACACTAAATTCTCTTCTTCCACAAGCCAGAATTTTTGTGTATGTCTTTGAGACCGGGATTCTCCACGCAGTTCAAGCTGACCTCAAGCTCACAGCGATCCTTCTGCCTCAGCCTCTCAAGTGCCAGGATTCCAGGCCTATGCCATCATGCCCAGCCTTGAACCAATTACTAAATATGTTTTTCTTTTCTTTTCTTTCCTTCCTCTTAGGGTCTCACCAGGCATTCCAGGCTAGCCTCAAACTTGCCACCATCCTCCTGCCTCAGCATCCCAAGTGCTAGGACTGCAGGTGTGTGCCACTTCACCCAACATGTTTTCTCTTCTTGACGAGTGAAAGAAAACCTGAGGTGACTCGGGCATATTTTGGCTACCCAGGCTCCCAAGCACTTAGGTCTGCTCAGAATTTGAACAGGAAGAGGAGAAAGACCTTCCCATCCCTCTCCTCAGTCTATAGTTCCAGCAACCTCCCAGCTTTCTCCCAGGCCCATCATTTACTGGGAAGAGCAAACTTAACTGCCCTCCACTGGCACAGACTAACCCTGGGACTCAGAACAAGCTTCAATGTTAGTATCTGACAGGGGGCAAGAAGTGCTGAGGAAAACCTTTCCATCCACACACACAAACAAAATAAGTGAACCCAAAAGGAAGCCCTTTCAGAACAACAAAGATGCCAGGTGTGGTGGGACACGCCTGCGATCCCAGCACTCAGGAGGCTGAGGCAGGAGGATTACCCCGAAGATTGACGCCAGCTTGGGCTACAATAGAGAGTTCCAGGCCAGCCTGCACTACATAGCAAGAGCCCGTCTCAAAACAAAAATAAAAACAACAATGGATCTGCCACTGATATAAAAACTGGGTGTTTAAATTTGCAACTGTGAGTTTTCCCTTAACACCAGTAGGCTTAGAAAATCTGATTTCTCTCTAACATCAGTTTTAAACAGTACACACACAAAAATAAATAAATAAAACTTAAAAGTAGGCACTCACTCCAGAGAGCAGCGGCTCAACAAACCTGACAGTAACCGCCGTGCTTCCTCTCTGGAGAGAGGGGGCTGGGTCTCAGAGTTGACGGGATATGCAAGTGCAACTAGCAAGGATGGATGCTAACAGGACCCTGTGACCACCACCACCTGGCCCAGCTGGCCCTGCCCGGCCTCTGAGGAAGAGCTGGGCAGTCACAGTGCAGGGCCAGGGCGGGCGGGGGGGCGGGGCTACCCGCACTATGCACACTGGGGGGGGGGGCTGCCCGCACTATGCACACGGGATGCCTGTTCTTTGTCACCTCAGGGTTGGGGTTTTCTAAGCCAAGAGGACAGATGTGCACCCTAATAAAAGACCCCAGTCGAGGCTCCATGTCAGCTCACTGTGTAGCCTTAGGTGCGCCACTTATTTATTTGGTGAGGGTCTTGATTCCTTCATCCGCATGCGCAGAGAGATGAGCCGAATAATGTGGGCTCTTCCAACCACTGGGACCCAATTTCCCAACCGCCCAAATGCCCTCAAATTCCATACCTTAGTCATGTCCACGGTATCGGGGACCACGAACATCCCCGGAGGCGGCTCCTTGTAAATGGACATGATATCCCTGCACAACACCAAAGGGGGAGTGAGGGGGACGGTCCGAGCAGGACAGCTGTCTTCCCTCAGCGAGGCCAGGGTTCCAGAAAGCCGTGCTTGGTACCGCAGCCTTGCTGCTGAGAGATCTCAGCTGAGCGCTTGTCAGGCAGGCCAGAGCAAACTGTTCTCAAAGAGGCATTGTCTCCTTGGGGAGGGCCGGGAGGAGCAACTCAGGGATCCTGAGGGCATGGATGGCACCCCCAGAAGCCACAGCTTGTTCCCTCTCACTCTCTCCCACAGGGCAGCTCTTTCCACCCACCCCGAGGTTCCCAGGTACTGCTGATTAACGCAAAATGCCTCAGTGACCACGAAAAAAGAAGGAGCACCCCTAAAAACCCAAGTCTATGCACCGCACAAGGGGCCCTGGCTGGCGAGGGACTGTAGGAAGCAAGAAGCCTGTCGGAGGGTCTTCCCGCTCAGGAGACTACGAAGGCAGAGACTTCTGCAGGGTGGGAACAGGGAGACCCTCGAAAGTCACCAGACCCACATCTGGAAGACGACAAGTGGTGCCTGCTACAGAAGCAAGTTTCTAGGTTTTTACCTCCCCAAGGGGCTACGTCAGGTGAGGGCGACAGGGTAAAGAAAGGCTTTCCACAGGAGGAGAAATCCAGGGCCCAGGTAGTGGGGGAAAGGACAAAAGAGGTGTAAGGAGGTGACAGATCAGTGAAAGAAGTACTGGCCAAACTCCACGGTCTACAGGGACCTAGGACTGGAGCGGCTAAAGAGTTAAACGCCAAGTCTGAGTCAGAGGTAGCGATCCCTACAGGATGCTCGTCGGGGTCAGGCACTGCGCCAGGGGTGCTACACACAGTACCACAGTACCGCTTAATTTTCCTACAACCTCGAAAAGCCGGGGGAGACATGGGAAGAGCTCGGAAGGTGCGGGCTAACATCTAGATGAGAGAGATGCTCGCGGCGGGGCGTGGGGAGAGGTCTGTTATCAGGAAACAGGTTTCAGGATGAACAGCAGCTAAACGGTATTATCCTTTTCCTGTTGACGGGCACTACACGGGCAAAACAGCTCTGGGACGATACGATCTAGGCTCGGTGACCCAGGAAATAAGCACCGAAAGGACTCGGGCCTCTCCTCTGCTCCGCGCGAGTGTGTGTACTTCACACAAGTACGCCGGCTGACCCGCGGGGGAATACACCAGAAGGTCCCAAACGCGGGGTTCTCCCCGAGCGACACGGGGGGCGGCGGAGTTTCGGGGACAGCTGGAAGAGCGGACAGCCCGGGGGACCGCAGCAGGGCTCAGGACGAGCTCCGAAGGCAGGCAGGCGCG